GGAGGAGGGGGAGGAGGAGGAGGGGGAGGACGCTCTCGCGCGCGCCACCCGGTGGCAGCTCCGGGGAATTGCAGGCCTCTGAAACTGGCTGCCTAGCTGGCTGCAGGGAGCCAGAACAGAAGTGAGGGACGGAGGGACGGTCTGTGTGTCCCCCACCCACCCCCGCGAGACGCACCCCTCCTCGAATTTCACCCCCGTTCCAAATGACACCCCCTCCCCAAATTTCCACCCCAACCCAAAACTCACCCCCTGGCCAAAGGACAGCCTCTCCCTGTCTAACTGGAGCCGCCTAGGGAGGGTCCACTCTTGTTCCCATAGCCTCCACCTGTGTGTGGGAATAGCCTCCGCAGAGGGTGTTGCCGGGACTCTGACTGTCTCTCTGCTGGAGACCCAGAGTCTCTCGGGGCAGGGGCCGTGTGCCTGTCAAGTGTGTTAGGGTCAGCGTGGGGTGTCGGGTGGGGGCATCGATGTGGTGTGTGGTGTGTGGTGTGTGTGTGTGTGAGTGTGACAGCCATCCCTCAGCTCCCTAACCCTGACCCTGACCCTGACCCTGACCCCCTGACCCTGGTCCTGACCCTCACCCTGACCCTCACCCTGACCCTCACCCTAGCCTGAGCCCGAGCCCGAGCCCCGAACCCTTGCCCTGACCTTAACCCCTGAACCTGACCCTAGCCCCTAACCCTTAGCCTGACCCTGAACCCTTGACTCCTGAACCTCACCCAGTGTTTTGATTTTCGCATAAGTTTAGTGTGTTCCCAGTAACGTAGGTGGAAATACAGTGCTACTCATGGGAAAAATAAGGAGAGAATAAATCCTTGGAGAAAAAAAATCCCATGATGTTAATTTTCCAAACACCCAGGATAGTTTGATGATGTAGTCCGTTCATTTTCTGTCTGCAACAGGCACAATTTGCTGAATTTCACTGTTGCATGTAGAATAACTTGTTAGTGATGCAAGTGAATGTAAGACACTGAGCGGCAAGAAATCAATCTGATTTCACTTTACAAGACAATATATCTGATCTTTGAGTTCTGAATAACTCCTTGAAGTAGAATGATTATATTTATTATAATGTATGTAAAGAAGGAAGTACAGGACAAATTGTCATGTATTACTAAACACTTATATAGCAGAAAAATTTTATGCTGGAAAGGGAATTAAAAATCACGGGAATTGTGAGTTCCAGTAATTGTGAAGACTTCTTGAATGGAGGCTGTGACAATGACACAGTGGAACTGTAATTGGATTCCTGGTATAGACATAAAGTAGAACAGCTTTTAATTTCATGACCTCTTCACTTATTCACTTGGTGAGGATTTTATGATAGCATGCCTGTGTTATAGGTTTACGTTGGAATTATCTATCTGAGTGTGTGTGGCTGTTTAGTGGAAATGCTAGTAGTGTGCATGTACATTCCAGAGAGATAAGAGATAAAACAATGAGAACTGTGAAGGAGAGAAAAATAATTAGGGGAATAATTTGTAAGAACATACCCAGTCAATACTCATAAAAACAAGAGACTGTATTTCCCATGTTGATACGGCATTACGTTGCATTTAGGGTTAATTATGTAACTTTGCAGTAGAGTTATTTTTCGGAAAATGCAATAGCTCTGTAAAAATGAAAAATAATTTATGAAGTTGGTAAAATTATTTCTCTACATAGTTTCATAGATGAATATACAAAATCCTTGATCATTTATAACATGTGAAATGCCCTCCATTATGAACAATTCTGTATCATAAGTGTCTTCTGTGTTCAGAAGACATTCTGGAATGCAGATGCTAGAGTCCTATATGGATTCAGCAATTCATATATATATGTTAAATAGCTTCTATTGCTTACTAATATTCACTATAGTATCACTGAGATGAAGTCATGCAAAAAAATAACTTGATGAAATAACTGTGCCTTTATAGCTGAAATAATTCCTCTAAACTACAAATAATACACAGCTCGCTTGTTGTGTTGCCTTGTGCTCTGATAAAACTGAGCAAGTCCTTTTGGACTTCAGCACAGCATTCAGGGCAACGTGATGGACAGATGGCGGACTGCAGTGTCTGCAAAGCCCACTGTGATACACAAGAGCCGTTTTCAGAATGGGTAAATTTTGGACAAGTAGTAGAAATCATCAGTTAATTCAGTAAATATACAGGGAACACCTAAAGTGAAGGGCACTGTTGAAGATTTTGGGGGTAAAATATTAAATACAATAAAGACAATGGAGATTTTCAAAATTTATATTTAAGTAGAGAATATGAAATAAAATGCAATATACCAGATAAAGATAACTGCTGCTGCTAATATTAAACCAGAAATGGGTGTGTGTGTGTGTGTGTGTGTGTGTGTGTGTGTGTGTGATTTGATATGAGGCCTGCACAATCTAAGGAAAAGACAGAAGAGGTGCGAGAATTAATCACGTAGGTTTATCAAGTGTGAGTGTTTCATTTGAGCTAGCAGTGTCATCACTGGGTTCTACGATCATCACGGAGATCAGTGTGCGTAAGTCACCCAAGCGGACAGAAGCAGCAGCTGCAGAAGGAGCGGTCAGTACACGCGTGAGTCTGCACATCAGTGTTGCCTTGAACCTTACTCTGAATACTGAAAGCTTCGAGCATGAGATTTACAGCTAACAGACTAATCCCAGATGCTGTTTTAAGCGCAGCTCATTGGGCACGTGGGGAAGTAAGATCACCGCCATATTTTAAAGAAGTTATGATGTGGCTTGTTCAAACCTAACAGCATAGGAAATACTAAGAAATGTCGAGAGTTTGTATTTATTAGAGGTCAGACACAATAGACAATTCTAATGAAACGGGATGTGAGAAAATATATTGAGTAAGATATGACACATGGCTTCTGGCTTGAGCACCTGAGAAGCTGTGTTATGATAAAGTAGACAGAGAAGAGAGCACAAGATCTGTAAGAAAATTCCGGTGAAATGCTGAGCAGGCAGATGGACAGTCATGAGATACAGGAAGGGGTTCTGACTTTTGATGAGACTTTTCACTGTGCACTTGAAATTATTGTGCAGCATTTTCTTGCTGAATTCAGTATCCCACATATGTCAACCAAGTTTACAAATTATGTTGCTCAGAATTCCTTAGTGATTCCTTGGCTGATTCTCCTAACAATACTTGGAGAGGTTTGTTGCATCTTCTTGTGATTACGGATTTTATTATTTCTTCTCAGTTCTGAAAGCTTTGTATTGTGAGTTTACCTTGCCCTGTGGACTAAGGGGAGTGTACTAAGCAGGTTTTCTGATTCCTCAGTTCACAGTATCCATGTTTTGCTGAATCAGGCATGATGATTTGTTCTTTGGCCTTTTATTTTCCACTCAGTGTATTTATCAGTGTCTTCCCCTATCTTGTTACCCACAGACTCACAGAAATTCCCACTCAGTGTGGGACTGTCTCTACTGGGAAAAAATAAATATAAGTTTTAAAAGAAGCTTTCTTACTACTAGAGCTTCTCACTATCTGAGGTTTTTCTCAACCACACCCACTGCCTTACCACCACATTGCAATCTTGTGAGTAATACTGCAATACTGTCCTGCCACCATCTTGAACAATATCCAAATTTTGTAGATTTTTTTGTCTCTTACTTTCATTAAAGATTTAGGTTGTCAAGTAGGATGTGTTGATCTTTTGTGGAATTTTCACATCATAAAAGAAGTGGAGACATACCCACTAGGTACATCTGGATGACAAATTGAACAACTGTTCTTTTTCTATGACTTAAATTTGTATAACTTCTAATGCTATACATGAGGTTATACTCAGGTATTATATATCTTCCTTGTAAAAAGTGTCTTTTGTCTGTTTTTAATTTATGTATAATATGCAACGATAATTTTATACTCTGATTTATTGTGTGCGTTGAGAATTAATCAGTGGATTGGTCTTCCTTCATTTAAGTAAAAATAAACTTATTTTACTTTTTCATTCCTTCGTTTTTCCAGTGCTGGGGATCCAAATCAAGGCCTTAGGCATATTAGGCAAATGCTCAGCCTCAAAACTGCATCCCAGCCCTTTATTCCTGTTAGTTATTGTTTGCACTGTAGCTCACACCAGGTCCCTCCAAATAGAAAACTTGCATCACTTAATCTACAGTGTGTAAAATTAAAAGTTAAAAATTACTAACTCATAATTATCACATGCTTCCTCAGAGTGATGGAGAACGTCACTGCAGTGACCCCAGTGACTGAGTTTGTTTTACTTGGTCTGACCAGTGCTCAGAGGCTGCAGCCCCTGTTTTTCGTGCTGTTTTTAGTCATTTACCTGATTAACTTGGTTGGAAATGGAGCTATATTAGGCATCGTTACTTTGGAACCAAAACTCCACTCCCCCATGTATTTTTTCCTGGGAAACCTGTCCTGTCTGGACATTTGCTACTCCTCTGTGACACTTCCCAAAGTGCTTGTGAACCTCCTGTCCACTCGCAGGACAATATCTTTCCTAGGCTGCATCGCTCAGCTGCACTTCTTCCACTTTCTGGGCTGCACTGAGGCTGTGCTGCTGGCCATCATGGCATTTGACCGCTTTGTGGCCATCTGCAACCCGCTTCGCTACTCTGCCATCATGAGCCCCCTGCTGTGTGCTCTGATGGCAGCTGTGGCCTGGGTCTGCAGCTTCTTCTATGCGCTGATGCATTCTGCCATGACGGCTCACCTGAACTTTTGCTGCTCTCGGAGTCTCAATCACTTCTTCTGTGATGTCAAACCCCTCCTGGAGCTGGCATGTGGTGACACGCTACTCAACCAGTGGCTTCTTTCCATTGTCACAGGAAGCCTGTCCATGGGAACTTTCTTGGTCACACTCCTCTCCTACTTCTACATCATTGGCTTCCTTCTCTTCAGACACCGATCCTGCAGAGTCATCCGCAAGGCGCTATCCACATGTGCCTCCCATTTCACGGTGGTGTGTCTTTTCTATGGACCTGTGGGGTTTACCTACATTCGTCCGGCCTCAGCCACCTCCATGAGTGAGGACAAGATGGCGGCTGTCATATACAGTGCCATCACCCCAGTGCTGAACCCTCTGATATACACTCTCAGGAATAAGGAGGTGATATTGGCTCTCAGGAAAATCTGGGGGAGGATACTGTGTAAAGAAGGACAGAAGCATCAATAGGACTGATGAAGCCAATTTCTGATTCATATATAGACTTGCATTACTTCACTTGCAGTAAATGATTATTTTACTTAATTTTTGTTTTTCTCTCTGAAATTCTGAGTAAATTCAAAATTTAGCACATGAATAAGCAATACAAATTTCATAATTTCTTGAGGTGTATAGGTCCAGTACTGAGGAGAGATGGTGATCCTGGAAGCTTGGCAGTTCTGGGGTGAAAAAATTGACCTGACTAACCGTGCTAGTCCCTATGAAAGTCCACAATTCAAATCGAGCATTTTTTTTTTCTGAAGATGGTTTCTTCTGCATGGTGCACTAGACCTGATGAAGGAATCAAGTGTAGCACCCACCATATTGGAGGGTAATTAATCAGTAATAGTTTCAGAAAGGGCTTATTAAGACTGAGCCATGGAACTACTACCGAGCAATTTCCCTTCAGGGTTGCAAGTGCTACCCTCCCACAGTGACTGGGTGGGAGCCAGCCACAACACAGTAATTAGGAAGGTGTACGCTAGACAGATCCACAGAGATGAGGCTCAGTCCAAGAAGGACACAGGCCTCTGACTTCAAGTGAGAAGCCAGGCCTGGCATGTGTGCTTTCAGAAGTTGCTGGATCTGTAGGTGTTGTCATCCACTCCAGGCACTGGTTTGCTGGATCCCCACCCCACTGTCTACACCCAGCACAGATATAAGTGGTGTGATTGCTGTACCAATCTACCAAGGTGAGCAAGGACGCACCTCAGCCTGGATGACTGCAGCAGCCTGGAGTGGACAGAGAGGACTCTGGCACCTCACAGACCCACAGGGTGGGAAACTAGGTGGAGAAAGCTGAGATTTGTGGGGCTCCAAGACTGGAGACCCTGGAAAGGTGCTGCTCATTCAAAAATACAAAGAAATTTTGTGAATTCATTTCTTTCATTGATTTTCTGGGGTTCATGTGTTTTTCTTTTTCTTCTTATTTATTCTTTTATTTTGCTCTGTTTATTTCTTTTCTTTTTCTTCTTTGCATTCTATTAGTTTTATCTAATTCTATTAATTTCCTTCTACTCCTTAATATGATTTTATGTCACTCTTCTCTCCTTTTCATCTCACATTGTTTAATTTGTCAAATTTTACTTTTTCTTTCTCTCATTCCCCATCCCCTCTATCTTTGCTATCATAATAAGTAGGCTTTATTAATCTTCAGATAGTTAACTCTGTGTTATCATGGTTGTATTCCTTCTATTGTTAGTGGAGGTACAATTATTATATCTGGTAGATATTTACTGTATGTTGATATTTATTATATCTAGTAGATATTTGCTGTATGTTCTTAGTTGCCCAGGGAACAGTTCCTGTTCCAGTTCTGGTTGCTTCTGTCTCTTAGAAACAGCTGGTCAGTGGGATGCGTAGCTGGTCACTATGAGGCACATTGTATAAACCAATCACAAATTGACAAACCATTTTGCCTCTGTACTTCCTGCTTGCTTATCTCATGTAAGCCCTAGGCCACTAGAGATCAGGACCTGATATTCTGGGATGATCCTGGTGAGGGCCTGCCCAGGGGGACAGATCTGCCTCCAAATGCTTGGCGTCACTTGGGTGTTTCTGCTTGCCCTTGCATCTGGTTCATTGTCTGGAATACCTACTGTGCTCACCTCTTTGGCTGCCAGGCATGGCCCTCACAGACCAAGCAAGGGCCTCTTCAGGTCCCAGTGGGAAGGCATTCCCTTGACATTTCTCGGGTCCTCTAGGAGGTGTGGATGAGGATTCCTGGCTTCTTGCTTGAGCAGGTCGCATCAGGACCCAAAGGGAGGAGGACACAGTCTGTCTGTCTGTCTGCTTGCCTGCCCTCCTGATTCCAGTAAGTCCCCTGGGGGCATTCCAGTCCCAGTTAGACTGCGTATCTGTCCTGCTCAGCTTGAGCAGAAGAAGAGCTTGATCACCTCTTGTAGTTAAGGTCTCTCTCAAGGGAAGGAGGTTGGAATGTGTAACCTCTGAGGTCTGCGGCATGAATGTGTGAGCATCGACCAGACAGTGTAAAGCAACAGGCTGCTTAGAGATGTCTGTGCAAAGACTGGGAAGCACTTGCTGCAGAGGCTGACTGAGCCCTCACCTGTGTCTCCATGGTGATGGTCATATGGCATGATGGAGGCCTCGCACACTCCTAAGCTGAGTCTCACCCAAGCCCCTGAGAGGGGTGCAGCCAGGTGGGCATCTGAATGGGCTCTCTCTGAGGGGCACCCACCCCATGTTGCATCATCATTCAAGAGTACAGAACACACAAGTAGGAAGTGAGAGATAGAAATTATTGAGTCAAACCCCACAGTCCCTGACTGTAGGATAAAGGGGTTTTTCAGAGTTAAAAATAAGACAAAACTGCTCCCTGCACCCCAAAGAAAACACACAATAAAAAGAGGTCCATTATTCCTGAGAATGCCACCTTGGCACCCTCAGTGGGCACCACAATTGCTGCCAACACTATAGCTTCAATGCCCGCTCCTGAATCACCTACTTCCTGCCAGTCTAACCGGTTCCAGCTGGCCATTGCCTGGACTCACCACAGAGACCCTCGCACTGAACTTTCTGCTTCACAGCTACACCTATCCTGGTTGGACAGCATCATGCAATGCCGACCCAAGACGACTGTGACTACCTGCTTCTGAACGTGATACTTGATCCTAGGCCAACCCCCATCTGCATCAAAGAGTACCTTATGCCATGAAAGACTTGGCTAGAAATGAAACCACATATGCAGAGCTTTCAAAGCTGCAAAATGATTATAGGCTGTCAAACTGCTGAAATACACCTCTCCTGCCTGTAAATCCAGTTCAAGATCTCCAAGCTGCCAATGCAGCCTACAGTGTGCTCCCTATATGTTGCCTCAGTCTTCTACTACCTACAGCCTGCTAGCACCTCTGCCTGGACCAAAATAATGCTTCTGCTGCCTTTGGTTGGCCCCTGCTAGCCAGCCACTCTTCCTGGAGAACCGGTTCTGGACTCAAAGGTTAGCTGACCTGGACTCAACCTCCCAGAGCTTACAGAACTTGTTTACCCTCTTTGAAGAAGATCACTGCACTTCCAATTGATGACACCTGAAATGCCTGTTGGAAGGGCACAAGAGCTCTGCTACAATTATCTGGCAGAAACTTGCTAGAAAAAATGTTTGGAAATTTCTTGGAGCTGCTGGCTTCTATAGAATCTGGTTCCTTGTGTTCAGAAAAAAAACTAGGATGCTTGCTCAAACTGTCAGCCCCTGGGAGCTCTCAGTGGTCTGCTCGTGTCAGTACTTAGATCTGGTCAGTAAGGGCTACCTCCCTGTCTTTTCTTCTGTTTTCTAACAGCCACTGTCCTTCAATCAAGAAAGCTGAGAAGCTCACCTTAGGCCAAGACCTAACTGTCCGGGTGCCACCTGCTGTACTGGACTTCTTCAATAACTGCAGATTACCACAGATTCTGAGTATACCCTGTGTACAGATGAAAGTAGCTCTGTTAGGACTGGAGTCCAACAGACTGAATATGCAGTGGTCGCCCTGGACATAGCTCTCTTGGCCAAAGCTCTCCTGCTACTTCTTCCTGCTGCTGTTTGGAAACCTGCCACAAATGCCCTCAAACCTACCCTTCCAGGCGTCCTCTGGGGTTCTGATTGACTGGAATATCAACCTGGTCACCACACCTGCTCCATCATATGTTTCGAAAACTCAAGACACTCAAGGCACCTGTAACCCTGCAGCCAGATCAGGCTTCCGCATCTTTGTCCCTACCCATACTGTAGATCTAAAAAGCTCTAGAAAAGTTAAAAAACAGGTTGTAACTCACACACCTATAACCCAGGTACATATTAACTACCTCTACAAAGTCCAGAAATCCAGCCATAAATTCACTGAAAAACTTAAGAGACAACACACTCAAAGCTATGCTCTGGTCACTCTGGATGCTAACCAGTGCATGTACAGCTGAATCCGGAGGACGCAGTTCACGGGACTGCTCCATACCTACTCCCCTGGATTTGTGTGTCTTTTCGAGATGCTCATCCTACTGCTTGATTCCCTAGAAACACAGCTGTATTTTTGGCCTTAAACTCTACAGAGAGTTCCTGCAAGAGAGTAGAACAATCAAACCCTGGACCCAGATCTGATGAGCAATCAAGATGCACTGGACACTCTCCAAGATCAAACTGCCTACCTCACTCCCTTGCCTGAGTGATGCTACAGAACAGAGAGGCCTAAACTATATCTCTTCCTACAAATAACTTAGGGAAAAACTCCGTAATAAGACAGTCTTGGGGAGCTTGGCTAGCCCATTCTAGGATCACTGACAACCCTAATATTGCCGCTTGTAGATGAGCCTTGTATCAAAGGATCACATGGAATATTCCCAGTGAAGATTTGCCAGAGAAACTAAAAGAGGGGGAAATGTGACAGAAAGGCCCCACCCCCAGCCAGTACACTTCAGGTTCTTAGTTGTCAGGTAATAGTTCCTGCTCCAGTTCCAACTGCTTCTGTCTTAGACATGAGGGGTCCCTGTGATGTAAAGGTGGTCACTGTAATACACACTGTATAAACCAATCACAAATTGACAAGCCATTCTGCCTCTGTACTTTCTGCTTGGTTCTTCAATATAAGCCCTAGACCACCAGAGATCAGGGCCTGATATTCTGGGAATGATTCTGAACAGTGCCAGTCAATGTAAATAAATTTGCCTCCAATTCCTGGTTTTTCATTTTGGTGTTTCTGCTTGTCATTGCAAAGGGTGAAACATTATTGGATATCATGGTATCCCAATATCAAGTTTCTCTTTCCTAGCATTACTGCTGGTACTTTAGTTATTATTGCTAGGAGGGTATAGCTGTTGCTATGGATTTGTTTCCTCTGTATGCTAATATCAGAATTGTGTTTGTGCAGTTGGTAGTACAGCAGTCCACTACCAGAGAACTGGTGCTGGGCCAGTTACACTGCATCCTTTCCTTGTAAATGAACAAAAGTGGTTGGATCTTAACAGAGAGAAAGATGTTGTCTTAC